ACATTTTGCTTAAATTTTTCTTTAAGGTGACAAATTGAAACTGATGTATAAGTTCAGGTGACATTTCTACAAATATCCCTTTTTTATAATAAAATATTGAAGCCCATAACTAATCTTTTCCCAAGCCCAACTCCAAATCAACTCTCTTTTCTAGACCCAATCACCTCCCTTAGTATGAAAGTGGCCTATTTATGAATTTTTAAGCCCAAAACATAAAGTTTTAGTTGGGTTTTGTAAAATTTTAAAATAATAATAATAATAATTTCAGTCCAAAATCAGAAACCAAATTGGCTTATGGGCAAATCGGACCAGATAATTTTTTTGTCAAAATCAGACTAAATGAATAGTGCCGATTCTAATTTGAGGTGAAAACCGGACCGTGCCCACCTCTATCGCAAACTCGTTAGCACAACATGGTCATCGTTTAGGACAACCTTGTATTTGGTTTTCAAATTTAACTTATTCGGTTTATCGCAGAGTTTTGTATGATGTACGGGATTTAAGGTGAAGTGGTTTCAACCAAAGTTGATGTACAGGTGTCATCATTTTAAATAGGGTACAGAGAGGGTACAGAGAAAACGGGCACAACAGATCTGAAGTCGTATCAAAACCAAAACCATAAACCCTAACCCATCTCTCAAACACTCAACTCTTCATCCCGTCTCTCTGTTGTAAGGTAAGACCTCTTCAAAATCCCTCTTTCTCTCTCTAAATCTCTATCAACGTATTGTGAGTATTTTTCTGAGTATCGCCACCCAAGTCTTCATCCACTTTGCTTATGGTTCCAGCGAATTGAACACTTGGGGTTTTGTGTTTGGTTTCAGTTTGTTCGAATTTCTTTTTGTTTTTGTCAAAATTATACCGTTTCTTATCAAGTTATAATTCGCTACTAACCAAAGTTTCAATTTTCGTTGGAAAATCTCTTTTTATAAGCAGCTAAAAATGCCCCTTTTTTTTGGCCCTCTGTTTCATTAGTATAGTTAATCCCAGTTTGCATCTTATGTACGCATGTATCGCAAATTATGATGCTTTGGGGACCATATTTTCTTTTGTTGTTAAATTTCTCATAGTAAAAAGAAAGTAATTTTTTAACTTTGAACTTTGTTTTGTGGTGTTTTGACATCGATTATGGAAAGTTATGATTTTGGTGATTAAATTAGTGGTTAATTATTTCAGTAGAATAGGTCCACTACATGTATGTAATTGTTTCTGCTATTAGAATCCATGTTAATAGTGATTCTGTATGCCACCTGCTGGTAGGTATTGATACATGTTATATGCATTTGTCTGGTGGCTGATGTGGTGTTGGTGTGGGTGTTGTCATTTTTGTGTTGAGAAATTGACTCTTGTGCTTTAAAAAAATATCGTGAATATAAATCAGATGTTTTAAATCAAATGATTTTCTGTGAAGATCTAACTTGATTTTATATTTTTTGTATACAGCCCAATAAGTAAACATGGTGCAATATAACTTCAAGAAGATGACTGTTGTACCCAGTGGGAAGGACTTCATTGACATTATCCTGTCTCGCACCCAGAGGCAGACCCCAACTGTAGTCCACAAGGGTTATGCCATTTCCCGCCTTCGTCAGTTCTATATGCGTAAAGTAAAATATACCCAACAGAATTTTCATGAGAAGCTATCCACAATCATTGATGAGTTTCCTAGGCTGGATGACATCCACCCTTTCTATGGCGACCTTCTTCATGTTCTCTACAACAAAGACCATTACAAGCTTGCACTTGGCCAGATCAATACT